TCAATAGTGATTTAGAGCATTTTTTCTTATGACTATAGATGGCTTTAATTTCTTCATCTGAGAACTGCCTCTTCATGTCCTTTGACCATTTATCAATTGGGGAAAGACTTGTATTCTTATAAATTTGACTTAATTCTCTATGTATTTTAGAAAATGAGGCCCTTATCAGACAGACTGATTGTAAAAATTCTTTCCCAATTTTCTACCTTCCTTCTAATATTGGTTGCATTGGCTTTGTTTGTGCAAAAACTTTTCAATTTAAAGTAATCAAAGTTATCCATTTTGCTTTTCATAATGTTCTCTGTTTTCTGTTTGGTCATGAATTCTTTTGTTCTCCATAAATCTGATAGGTAAATTATTCCTTGCTCTCCTAGTTTGCTTACAGTATCAGCCTTTATATCTAAATCATGAACCCATTTTGACTTTATTTTGGTATTCATGCTTCTCTTGAGTCTTATATTTGAAAGTTGAATTTTCTCTTCAGCTCTTGTCTTTTCATCAAGAATGCTTAAAAGTCTTCTAATTCACTGAATGTCCTTTTTATTTCCCCTGAAGAATTATACTCAGTTTTTCTGGGTAGGTGATTCTTGGTTTAAATCCTGTCTCCTTTGCCCTCCAAGATATTATATTCCATGCTCTGTTGTCCCTTTAATGTAGAAGCTGCTAAATCTTTTGTTATCCTGATTGTCTTTCCACAATACTTGAATTGTTTCTTTCTGGCTGCTTGTAATATTTTCTCCTTCATATGGGAACTCTGGAATTTGGCTACAATATTCCCAGGAGTTTTTCTTTGGGGATCTCTTTTAGGGGTGATTGGTGGATTCTTTTCATTTCCATTTTACCCTCTGTTTCTAGAATATCAGGGCAGCTTTGCTTGATAATTTCTTGAAAGATGGTGTCTAGGCTTTTTTTGGTCATGGCTTTCTGATAGTCCAATAATTTTTAAATTCTCTCTCCTGGATCTATTTTCCAGGTCAGTTGTGTTTCCAATGAGATATTTCATATTGTCTTCTATTTTTTCATTCTTTTAGTTTTGTTTTACAATGTCTTGATTTCTCATAAAGTCACTGTCTTCCATTTGTTCCATTCTAATTTTTAAGGAAGTATTTTCTTCAGTGATCTTTTGAACTTCCTTTTCCATTTGGTCAATTCTGCTTTTTAAAGCATTCTTTTCCTCATTGGCTTTTTGGACCTCTTTTGCCATTTGGTTAGGCTATTTTTTAAGGTGTTATTTTGTGGGTCTCCTTTAGCAAGCTGTTGGCTTGTTTTTTATGGTTTTCTTGCATCACTCTCATTTCCCTTCCCAGTTTTTTGTCTACTTTTCTTACTTGCTTCTCAAAATCCTTTTTGAGCTCTTCCATGGCCTGGCACTGAGTCGTATTTTTCTTGGAGGCTTTGGATGTAGGAGCTTTGACTTTGTTGTCTTCTTCTGGTTGCATGTTTTGATCTTCTTTGTTACCAACATAAGATTCTATGGTCTCGGTTTTTTCCTCTCTTTGCTCATGGTCCCAGCTAATTATTTGACTTGTAAACTCTTTTTTAAGGTAGGGGTCTTCTTCCAGTGTGGACAATGTACTGTTCCAAGATTTGGGGGTTTTGTGTATCTGTCTTCAGAGATACTTCTAGTGATCTGTAAATTTTCAGTTCTTCCAAGGTAGTATGATCAAGGGCGAGGTATTTTCTTCTTTCCTGGCCTGTGCTGTGGTGTATGAGTGATCACAAGCACAAGGATTCTCTCTCCACAGTGCCTGCAAAGAGATCCCTGCAGTCTCCCTCTGATCAGCCACTTGATTCCCCATCAGTCTGTGAGCTGGAAGCTCTCTGGAAGCAGTTGCCGCCCTGGGGCTGTGCCAGGACTGGGTCTGGGACCGAGCTTGTCTCTCACTGTGGCCACAGACCTTTCCTACTGTCCTTCTAAATTGTCTTTGGTGATTGTGGGTTGAGAAGTCTGGAAACCACCAGAGCTGCCTATGATTCAGTCTGCTGAGGCCTGCTCCAGATTCTCTGAGGCCTGATCTTTGCCTGTGCTTCCACGCTGAACTGTGCTCCTCTCCCAGCCCTGCACAATAGACATTTCCAATCAACCATCCAGGTTGTCTTGGGCTGGAGATTTATTTCACTCTTTATTTTTGTGAGTTCTGCTTCTCTAGAATTTGTTTAGATCCAATTTTTTATAGATATGTGGAAGGGTTTGGGGAAGAGCTCAAGCAAGTCACTGCTTTTACGCCACCATCTTGTCATCTTCATTTTTGAAGAACCATGGCAGGTATTTTCTACTCATCTTTTCCATTAAGCTTCATTGTCAAAGACCTGAGTTTTAATTCAGAATATCAAAACAGTGTTGATTTCAATATTCATAACACAAAAACTTTTTATCAAATCATGAGTGTATTTTCTCATTCATTTTTTCTTAAATGACCATGCCTTAAATGATTAAGCTTAATCTATTGAATACAGGAAAAATACATTTAAAAATGCTTCTTATTGATTTTTGCTTGTGACAGTGTGTGTGTGTGTGTGTGTGTGTGTGTGTGTGCATGCACTGAAATAAAGTCTACTTTTCATGCCCAATTATGTGTAGCTTTCTTTTGAATTATATTATCCCTGCCTTGGGGGTACTTAACAGAAAAAAAAATGTGAAAAAAGCAGAATGCTTTGAATGTTTTCTGATTTTGGATGACCCCATGCCAGCACTGAGGACAGAGACATCAATAGCTCAGGACTCCAAGCCCTGGGCCTATGGTCAGAAAGGGCTGTATTTACATCCATCTTCAGACACAGACTATGGCTGTGACTCTGGGCCATCCCTGGTGCTTTATGACCCTCACTGTACTCTCCTTTAAAGTGAGGAGTGACATTGGCAGCTAGTTGACTGCTTTCTGATGAGGAGAAGAGGAGCTAGTATTGGAGAGAGCTTTTCAGGGTCACTCTGACTTCCCCTGTTGTAAGGGCTCTTCTGTCTCTGATAGCCCTCCAGTGAGATGCCCTCTGAGCTCTGACATTCTCTTCTCTATGGCAACTCCTAAACCAGACATTCTCTGTGTGTTCTTAGGCCTCTGCAAGCCCTGACATTCCATGTTTTAAGGCTTTACCCTCTTGTGACATGCAAGGCTTTGGTGTCTTCTGAGTAGATCTATTTTCTTGAAAATTAATTGCTTGTGTGTCCTAACACTGCAGTGGTTTACAAAGAAAAATGGAGGCCCTTTTACATCCTCTCCAGTTAATCCTTTAGTGTTTTGAATAAAATAAATACTGGGGCTGGGACTGCTACTGGGACTGCTGGGAGTGCTTAGTCAGCAGATGAGGTAGCATAGCCTGGGTGTGTTGGGAAGGCGGAGGCTGAGACTAGAGGGCACAGGTAGCATTACTGCCTGGACACCTGGCTCTTGTTTTTTCTCCTTTCTGGCTGGAGCACCCAGGTTGTAGAGACAGTGTGGGAAGTCAGTGACCAGTGGTCTAGACTCAAGATGAATGGGCAGATTAGCTCCAGGGTCCTTGACAAACTATTGCTTCCTTGGTTCTCACCAGCAGGGTGGTTGGGTTTGCCTGAGCTCCTGGTATAGACACACCTCTTATGCAACAATGAAACAAAGGAGTCTACCCAACAGCCCAGGGCCTACAACCAGTCTAGGAGAAAGGGCAGGAAAGATTGGGCCCCAAGTCATGACTAACTCATTAATAGAGTGTAATGCAAAAGCCTGGATGTGGATTCTAATGTCAGACCTGCCCCTTTTCTTCCCCTACGTAGGCCTCAGTTATCCCACCTGCATAATAGAAAGCATGGTTAGCAATGATGTGAAAAATGCTGGAGGGAATGTGGTACACTAATGCATTGTTGGTGGAATTGTGAACTAGTTTCTCCATTCTGGAGAACAATTAGGAACTGTGGCAATTAAAAAGTTCAAGAGACATAGTTTCTGGGTACTTTAATCATTTTACAAATAAGGCTAGCATGTTTATTAACAAAAAGAGTTCAGTGGCACTCTTGAATGCCAAAGACCCTTCCTGGCAGTGGACTCAGTTTGTATGCCCTTGGAAAAGTTGATGTTGCTGAGGGTGGCAATTAACTCTGGTTAATTAATGAGAGAATAAATATTATAGTGAGGAGCTGGACTATATTCCAATGAAGATTTTGGGGCTATGTGACTTGGATCATCCAAATCTTGGTCAAAGAGACTTATCAAATTCCATATCACCTGTCTGACAAAAGGGAGGGTCCACATTTTCTCAAACCTATCAGGATGCACTCATTACCTTAAACTTAGAATTTCTTTTACTTTCTTTGATTAGATCTCAGTGATCCAGGCTGGGTAAGTGTATGAGCAAGATTTCCCACACTGGTTGATTTATTGATGAGGAGGTAAAAAAGGAGAAAATGATTGGTCCTGATTCAATAATTAGGTAATACAAGAAAGAAATAATCATTTCTCTCAGAACTACGAGCAAAGGGATTTAAAATTGTGCATACCCTTTGACCCAGGAATACCACTACTAGATTTGCATGCCAAAGAGATCAAAGAAAAAGGAAAAGTACTTATATGTACAAAAATAGTTATACCAGCTCTTTTTGTGGTGGCAACATATTAGAAATTGAGGAATGCTCATCTTTTGGGGAATGGCTGAATAAGTCATGGTATATGATTGTAATGGAATACTATTGTGCTATGAATGAGCAGGATGCCTTCAGAAAGACCTGTGAAGACTTATATGAACTGATGCAAAGTGAAGTGAGCAGAAGCAGGAGAACATTGCACATAGTAACACCAATATTGTAACAATGATCAACTGTGAAAGATTTAGCTACTCTGATTGATACAATGATCCACAACCATTCCAAAGGACTTGCAATGAAAAATTCTATCTATCCAGCATGCACTTGCCTCCCTTATGCATCCAGGTGTAGTACCACCTTCTCTCTCTGAAGGGTTTAAACTTGCCACTTTAAAGTTCACCATGATGATGATGATATTGCTGCCCTTGTTGTTGACAATGGTTCCAGAATGTGCAAAGCTGGCTCTACAGGAGACAGTGCCCCTTGGGTTGTCTTCCTTTTCATTGCTCAGCATCCCAGACATCAGGGTGTGATGGTGGGTATGGGCCAGAAAGACAGCAATGTGAGGGATAAGGCCCAACGAAAGAGAGCTATTCTGACCCTGAAGTACCACATTGAACATGGTATTGTCACCAATTGGGATGACATGGAAAAGATCTGGCATCATACTTTCTATAATGAGCTCCATGTGACCCCTGAAGAACACACTGTGCTGCTTACAGAACCCCACCTGAACCATAGAGATAACAGAGAAAAGGAAACTTGGATTATGTTAGAAGCTTTCAACACCCCAGCCATGTATGTTGCCATCCAGGCTATGCTGTCCCTGTATGCCTTTGGCCATAGCTCTGGTACTGTAATAGACTCTGGTGATAGTGTAACCCATGTCATGCCCATCTATGAAGTTTATGCCCTTTCCCATGTCATTCTCTGCCTGGATCTGGCTGGCCATGATTGATGGACTATCCCATGAAGATCCTGAATGAGAGAGGGTACAGTTTCACTACCACAGCTGAGAGGGAAATCATGTGTGACATCAAGTAGAAGCTGTGTTATATTGCCCTAGACTTTTGCCAGGAGCGCCTGCATTCACAGCTGTTGTCTAATGGTGGCAGAGTGTGAAGAGAGAAAGAATCACGGGCCAGGTGGGAGCAGTGAAGAACAAACTCCATTTATTCATCTGAGGGCTCAGGTTTACATAGTACTGGATCAAGCAATAGTAACATTATTTTCCATGAAAAGCACAAACCTAATTAAGTGATTCCCTTATTTCCTTGTACCTTGTCTGTTACTTTCTTCCCTGCTTCCTGTCCTGTACCCTATCTGTTTCCTCCCTTCCTTCATCCTGTTCTCAAGAGATAAAATGGGGGGGGGGTGAGCCGACATCCTGAGTTTACACAGCTGTTGGGCTTAGTACAACCTATAGGTAAGACCCGGGCTGGCCTAAGCCCTCCAACTCCTCGGACCTGGCCCTCAACAGACTTTGAGCAGGAGATGGCCACTGCTGCATCTAGCTCCTCTCTGGAAAAGAGCTATGAGTTCCCTGATGGTCAGGTTATCACCATTGGCAACAATAGGTTCTGGTGCCGATAAGCTGTCTTCCAACCATCTTTCTTAGGTATGGCGTCCTGTGGAATCCATGAAACTACCTTCAACTCAATTATGAAGTGTGATATCCACATCCTTAAGGATTTGTATGCCAATATCATATTGTCTAGTGGTACCACTATATACCCAGGCATTGCTGACAGGAAGGATAAGGCAATTACAGCCCTAGCCCCCAGCACAATGAAAATTAAGATCGTTGCCCTACATGAGCGCAAATACTCTGTCTAAATTGGAGGCTCCATCCTCGCCTTTCTCTTAGCAAGCAAGAGTATGATGAATCTGGGCCTTCCCCCAAAAAGAGATAAGATTGGCAAGGCTTTATTTGTGTTCTTTTAAGTTTTGTTTTTGTTTTTCTTTTGGCATTTGACTCAGGATTTAAAAACTGGAATGGTGAAGGTGATGAGCAGTCCAAGTATGTTGGGGTCAAATATCTCCAAAGTTCTACAGTGTCTTCAGGCATCTGATTGTACTTTTCTTTAAAAAAAAGTACTCATTCCAAATATTGTATAATGCATTGTTACAGAGTTTCTTGCCTCTATGAAGGCTGTCCTGCTCTACCCAAAGGAGCTACTTAACATAAATCCAAATTGGGAATGGGGGTGGGGTGGGGTGAAGGGGGAGGTACTAATATTACTTTTCATTTAAATAATGTAATTCTTTTTTTTTTTTGGCTAGGCAGTGGAGTTATGTGACTTGCCCAGGGTCACACAGCTAGTAAGTGTCAAGTGTCTGATCTGAGACCAGATTTGAACTCAGGTCCTCCTGACTCCAGGGCTGGTGCTCTACCCACTGCACCACCTAGCTGCCCCAATTATGTAATTCTTTAAAAAAAAAAACAAAACTTTTTTGTATCTTCTGCCTTAACACTTATTACTTTTTTTTTCAACTCAGAGTCATAATGAATGGCCCCTTAAATTCCCTCCGTTCCCCCAACGTAGATGTCAATGAAGACTTTACAGTCTCCTGATGAGTTTTATGAGACTGATGCCAGTACTTTGGCAAAGGGAAGAGTTTAAGACCAGTTCAAATAAAAATGAATATATTAAAAAAGAAAAATTCTATCCATATTCAGAGAAAAAAATGAAGAACTCTAAGGGCAGATTGAGTCATATTTTTCACTTTATTTTTCTTGATTATTATTTTTTTTTTTGCAATATGCTTCATATGCATCACTTCACATATATAACTGGTATCATTGCTTGCCTTCTCAGTGATTGGGAGAGAGTTCTCAGGGAGGGAGAAAATTTGGAACTGAAAGTAAAAAAAAAATCAATGTTAAAAAATAAATTAAAAGTTTTTATTCCTAGCTGCTCTAATTTAGTTATGATATCTTTTCTTTCTAGGTTATGTATCCATTTGGAGTTTGTAATGGTATTTGGTGTGAGGCATTGGCCTAAACATAATTTCTGACAGACTAGTATCCAGTTTTCCCAAAAGGTTTTTTTTTAATCAAATATTGAGTCATTTCCCCAGTCACTATGAGCTTTAGGTTTTATCAATCACTTTGCTTTTGTGACTGCTTTCTGCTGTATATTATATATCAGATCTGTTTCACTGACCAACCTCTCAATTGCTTAACTAGTACCAACTCATTTTAATGATTACTGCTTTGTAGTACAATACTAATAGACCCCTTCCTTGCCATATTCTTTTCATTATTATCCTTGAGATTTTTGACTCTTCATATGAAATTGGTTATTATTTTTCTCACTCAATACATAATTTTTGGTAGTTTCATTGTTATAGCACTGAATAAGGAAATTAATTTAAGTAATACTGCTTTTTTATTCTATTGGATCAACCTACCCATTAACAATTCATGTTTTCCTTATTTGTATAAAGAGGGTTTTATACTTGGATTCATAGAGCTGGTTGCATCTTGGAAGATACATTCCCAAATATTTTCTACTTCCTGGAATTATTTTGAATGTAATTTTTCTTTCTAGCTCTTCCTACTGGGTTTTGTTGGTGACATATAGGGATGCTGATGACTTAGGTGAATTTATTTTATATCTCACAAGCCTGACAAATTTGTTAATTGTTTCAGTTAATTTTTTGTTTTGACTCTTTAGGTTTTTCTGAGTAAATCATCATGTCATCGACAAAAAGTGTTTCTTTTCTTTCCTCTTTGCATATGCTCATTCTCTTTATTTTTCTTTCTTGTCTTATTGCAACAGCTGGTTTTTCTAGCACTATGTTAAATAGTAATGATGATAATAGGCACCCTTAATTAACACATAATTTTTTGGAAAGGTCTCTAACACTTCTGCATTATGTATAATTTTTGTTTTAGGATTCAGATCGATATTGTTGACTATATGAAAGAAAGGTTAATTGATTACTATGCTTTCTAAAATGTTTAATAAAAATGAATGTTGAATTTTGTCCAGAGCATTTTTTGGTCACCTATTGACATAGTCATATGGCTTTTATTATTTATATTAGTAACATGATTTATTATACTCATAATATTCCTGATATTGAACTAATAAACCCAACCTTGTCATCATAATCTTTTAAATATGTTGGTGTAACCTACTTACTAATATTTTATTTAAAAGTTTTGTGGCCATGTTTATTAGGAATTTTGTTTTTTTGTCTCTAGGTTGTCTCCCCCTGGCTTATGGACAAATATTTTTATGATACATGTTTGTATCATTGAAAGATTTGAAGGATGCCTGTTTTCAATAGCATGTATAGTATCAAAATGCCTGGAATGTCCTTATCGCATCTACATTTTTACCTCCCTGGCTTTCTTCATGCCCCAGATCAAATCTCACCTTCTACAGATCTTTGATCATTCCATCTAATTGAGCCTTTTCCTTTCTTTTAGTCCATACATATCATGTATATACCTTTTTAATTACATGTGGTCTCCATTATTAGGTTTTAAACTCCTTGAAAGCAGTAACCGTTTTTGTAATTTTGGTTTCCTTTGACAGAGATAAACAAAAAGGGACACACACAGAGAAATTATTCAAAAGTATGAGTAAAGATAATTGAAACAATTACTATATGAAATACCTAATTTATCCCTCAGTTATTAACTTAAGAAGGAAGGCCATTATCAAAGTATAACTCTTTTTTCTAGGTTCCCTGTCCTTAAAGTATTGCAATAGAGATGAGAGGTTCAAGTAGATGCTAACTCAGAAGTTAATCTTTCATATACTATATTGTTTCTATGATTTGTTCTTTGACTTACTCATTATTTAGGATTTCACTGTTAAGTCTTTATTTGGGTTTGTGTCTTTTTTTTGTAACTTCTGAACCAATGACTATTTTTACTGCATTATGCAAATTCTGTAAAGGATATATTTACTATTTCTGCCTTTTTACATTTATTTCCAATATTTCTATGCCCAAATACATGGTTTTTCTAAAAGTACTGTGAGGTGCCAAGAAATAGATATAATCTTTGTTGCCCCAGTTAGAAAATATCTTAATTCTTTTAGCTCTAAATTCTTCAGCATTTCAGTTCTGTATTTTCCATTTTGTTTACTTTCCATTAGACTTATCCATAACTGAAAGAAGGATACTGAAGTCTCCTGTCACCACTGTGTTATCATCTATGTGATCTTGTAGCTCAGTTAATGTTTGCTTTGTGAATTTGTATGCTAAGTTATCTCAGGCATATAATTTTTATTACTGATATTAGTTTGTCTATGGTTCCTTTTGGCATAATACAGTATGCTTATTTATCCTACTTTAATTTTGAACCTGTTTTAGCTTTGTCAGACAGCATGATTGCAACTTCTGCTTTTTTGGATTCACTTGATACATAATAATTTTTTACCCATCCCATCAGTATCATTTTGTGTTATGTCTTCATTTTTTAAAAAGTATTTCTTGTAAGCCATAGATTGTAGGATTTTGTTTTCTTATCCAAATTGTCCTTTTGTTTTATTGGGTTGTTTAATATTTTCACTAGCTATGAAAGTTAGGTTTATAGTTTTTTGAAGTTGAGATTTTTTTCCCCTCTTTTGCTGTGAACACAGTCCTATGTCTCTTTAGTTACTTTAGCTCGAACCTTTTTAAGGTGACGCTGTTCCCACTAGCAATTTTCCCCCCACCCCATCTCCCATTTCTTACCCCATTCCATTTTTTAACTATAAATTGAATTTTCTTTCTTGCTTTTATCTAATTATTTAATTCTTCTCCTTTTTTTCCATTAGTCAAGTCAGTTTCCCTTTCCAGAGAGGATTTCTCTCACAATCTTACCTATTCTTTTTCTCTCTACTCTAGTCCTCCATTTTCTGGTTCATAGACCCTATAATTATCTAGTCTTTATTCATTTTATTCCTCAATTTCATGGAATGAAAATTTCTGAGGTATCCAATCTGGGCTCTTCCCACTTCTGGCAATTCCTGTCACTGGTTTGTAGAGAATTTCCTGAGGACTCTTCTTTTCCAATATGCCTCACTCTCAAAGCAATACCAATTCCTGAAAATGACAGAGAAGATTAGTGACCTATTAAAAGGAAAATTCTTTCTTCAGACTTTCACCCTAATTAATGAGGCAAAACTCAGGAAAAAGAGAATTTAAAGTAATTTTATTAATAGTTGTTGATAATTGTTGATCAGCAAGAGGTCACCCAGGGATTCAAGAGGGTGCCAGCTTTTATTGATAACTTTCATAACAAGATAAAGACATTTCAGATAGGTCCACCTTAGCAAAAGATGATGGGACATTTCATCTCAGTTCCTCCCCAATTGCTAGTATGTGCAGGCTAACAGGTAGTCGGTGACCTGGTACATGAGGGAGAGCAGGTAATGCAAAAGTTGCAGACTGGGTGATGCCTCCCGCAACAGTGACTGACAAGCAGGACTGGGAACAGTAAGTCACTGAGTCAGTAAAACTTCCTATAATTCCACTATTTGGTGCTAACCATAATATGGTGCAGTGCCACAACTGGTTTCATATCACTCCTTTATCTTAAACTGCATCATCCTACTCTCTACTGCTCATGCCTAATCAAGTTGAGCAAATATCAGTGGCTGTAAGCTTGGGGACTTAAACTTACAACAAGAACCATGTGTACTTTGGCCATGAGCATCACAAATCATAATCCCATGTATGCCCCAAGGAGACAAACCTTGTTAAATAAGCTCCATATGTAAACTAAGGCAGGTTAAGGCACTTAGGGTTCTTGCCATGTACTAATTTTAGAAGCGAGATTTACATATCAGCAAGGTCACCCAGAAAACTCAGTAAACATAAATACCATGAAATAAAAAACCAAAGTAATACAGTAAGGACCATCAATATTAAATAACATCAGTTCTCCTTGTAATCCACTCCCAATGTTCAGTTCTTTTCATCTTGGATCCCAGATGGCCCATGTAGTTGTCTGGTCCCTGGAAACGTCTTCTTTTGGATATTCCAGAATAGGTCTCATTCCTAGGGCAGCTCTGAAGTTGTCTTTTTCTATTGGATTTGCTTCTCTGGTTCCAAGATACTTGCAGAGATTCCTAGAATAGATTTGAATAAATTCTATTCAAATCTGTCAGTAACCAGGCTTTATTAGCAAACCTCTTAAATGTGCTTTCACCAGTAACATCCTGTTTGCACAGTGAACTAGTGGCCTCATGACAATTCAGACAATCATGCCTGAAATCTAAACTTAGAATGATATCAGATTACAGTCCCATGAGATTTTACCTCAAGTAGAGGTTTCATTAATCACATCTTAATGCTAGGTACAGCTGTTGTTATTTTTCTCATCGTGCTGCAATAATAAAACATTTGCCAGGTCTTTCAAAATTTACTCAACATTCTTTCCTTCTTGTTCTTTTTTTTCTTCTTGAGTTTAAACTCATCGTGGTATAAAAACTAATCCTTAAAAATCCAGAAAATAATTACATTTTGGAATTCCACAGATACAGTGAATGTAGAATAGTTTATTCAAAAACCCAGAAAAACACTGGCCAATTGCTGTCAAACTTCAGACTAATGGATATTCATCTCTTAGTGTATTCTATATTCACTCCTTAGGGCAAAAATAAATATTTATGACTGGAGTTCACTGACATTAAATGGGCTAAAGTCATAACTTCAATAGGTACTATTCCAGGTATAATTTCATAATCTTCACAAGTGAAAGGCAGAAAGCCTTAGTTGGCACACTTTGTTATAAGCAGGCTTGAAAAATTCTCCCCCGTTTTGCTAGGAGTAGAAGAGGAGATCTAATTTTCTCAGGAAACCAGTTTACAACACTGTCAAAGAATTTCACAATAGTAGCAAGCTCTTTCACAGGGCTGATAAGATTTTATGACCTTGCCCAAACATATATGATGTCAAGAAACCTTTTAAGTTTGCAGATAAAGAGATTTTACAATGTCTTTTCTTCATAGCTTTTCCCATATAGTAATTATCAATTTTCCTTTTCAAAATATACTCAATTAAATAGGGTTTTTACGTTATGACAATGACTACTACTACTAATTTCACAGGAACAAGATCAAAAGAAAATTTCAGCATGTCTCATAAAATGTTTTCCCAGCATGTACCACACAAGGAAATTTAGAAACACAATGGCTCAAAAATGTTATGGATTTTAAAAACATAACAGAATTTGAAGATACATTTAAATGGATGCCAAATAACATCAATTTATTTGAATGCACCTCTAAATCCTTTTACTCTGATCATATCTGAAACCCTGTATAAAATTATCAAGTCTGAAGCAATTACAACTAATTAAAGAAATAATATTAACAATAGTTTACATTTATATAGTACTTGTCATATCCCAGGCAATGTGTTAAGCACTTTACAATCATGTGATCCTTACAGCAACCCTGAGAGGTAGTTGCTTTTGTTTTGTTTCCTGCTTTACACATGGTGAAACTTAGGTAAACAAAGGTGAAGTCACCTAGTCAATAAATTGCTGAGACCAGATTTTTTGACTCAGGTTTTCCTGATCCATGCATTTTTGCAATAAGTTCTGATTTGCCACAATTATTCTAAGAGGAGAACACATTTCACTATAAATGAGACCACACTATGTTTTAGTTTCAGGACCAAATCAAATCTGGATTTATAATCACTAATGGTAATGTAATGTGTAAATCTTAATTTGTCCAAGGACCATTTTACTGCTAGCCTTTCAAATTAAGGGCCAACTATTTTCAGTTGGCATACTGCCAAGATTTAAAACAAAAGTTTTGTATTTTTGCCCCTCTTTTAGGATCCATGAAACTTTTCTGAAACGCAGAAATTACAAACATAACCTCTGTCATGTAGTAATGAAATTATTAATAAATATTCCTCACATAAGGACTAAAATAGACCTTGCTAATGCTTTGCTATGCCCAAGTAATTCAATGCTAGAAACACATTTTTATATTTTCCATATCATGAAGAACAAATAAATAAAGCTTCTCATACCCTTCTTATCTGAATGAAATCAAACTCATCCTCACTTCTTTTTCCAAATTTCCATAGCTCTTTACTTTCAAGTCCTCTACTCATACTATCAGTGCAAAAGAGACTACAGCTTTTCTTAACTTCCTATTTCCTCTTATCTCTAATTTGTTAGACTTTATCTCCTTCTTTCAAGCTTAGATTAAAGCCCTTCACAACTGCACCTGTCTTGTTTCTTTCATATTCTGACCAGACGCTTCTCTTACAAATCATATCCCAGACCATCTAAAGAAATAATCTTCACTTCACTGATTTTTTTTTCTCTTTCTCTTCTGCCCCTCCAACTTAGCCACAGTAAGAAAGGGAGAGATTGTTCTTTTTTATGGTTCTTTAAAAGCCTTGGAAGTTCTGCTTCAGCCTTCCCAAAAGGTATTCCTAGTACCTAGTCACCTCCCGCAACTGCTGTTTCAAGTCCTCTCTCAACAGCACTGAAAATCTCTGGTTTGCCTACCACAGAGATCTTCAAAAGACATTGAGAATGTGCATCTGACTGAGTTCAATACCTAAAGACCCATCCTTTATTTTGCCAAAACATGGTTTGTTTCTTTTCTCTCGTAATTTTCCCAGTCCCTACCTATGCTCATTGCTCAGTTGTGGATATATCTTCCAGGATGTTTCACAAGCTATTACAACTTGTCTACCCTGGATTCCCCTGAAGGCTCAGTCTTCCCACTTCCTTTATGAGTACTGATATTCCCATGCAAATGTGCAGGCAAATCCATTTACATACCTGCCTCTTCCTGGTGAGCCTTTTGCCTTTCCTTCCGTCTTCCCTTCTTCCTGCACAGAGGAAAAAATATCAGAATTTGGATTTGGGCACTTATTTTTCCATTTTCTGTACTGAGTTTTGGGGAGCTAAATTCTGCCACTTCACAACTTAACCAACTGTGAGGGTGGGCCAGCTATCAGGCAGTGCCTAATTGCTGGTTTCAGGGCTGGAGCAGGACCATCTACAATGATAGCCTGGAATGAAAGCCCCTAAAAGCTCTTGGTGGCTCTTACTTTGTTAAACGGAAAATTCTTTGTTCAGGCTTTTTCTTGGATTAATGAAGCAAGAAAAGTTCTCAGGAAAGAGAACTAAAAGGAGTTTGTTAAAAATAGATTATTAAAGGAACCAACAGATAGATAGGCTGATCACTAAAGATGGAGCTATCTTTCATTAATAACTTTCATAATGAGATAAAGACAATTAGAATATGTCCACATTAGCAAAAGGGCATCCCATCAGACACTGTATCTCAGCTCCTTCCCAATTGCCAATAGGTGCTAGCTAAAGGTAGTAGATGACCTGGTACGTGAGGGGATAGCAGGTAATACAAAAACTGCAGATTGGATAACTACCTCCCTCAACAGAGACTCTGCCCACAGTTATTGACAAATAGGAATACAGTCATATGAAAAAATACTCTATATCACAATTGATTAGAGAAATGCAAATTAAAACAATTCTGAGGTATCACCTCACACTTTTTGGCTAATGTGATTGATACGATTGGCTAATATGACAGAAAAGGAAAACGACGTGTTGGAGGGGAATGTGGGAAAGCAGGTATACTAATGTATTGTTGGTGGAGTTGTGAAATGATCCAACCATTCTGGAGAGCAATTTGGAACTATGCTCAAAAGATATAAAGCATACATATCCTTAGAGCCAGCAATACCACTATTAGGTCTGTATCCCAAAGATATCAAAGAAAAGGGAGAAGGCCCTATATGCATAAAATCTTTATAGCAGCTCTTTTTGTGATGGTAAAGAACTGGAAATTGAGGGGGTACCCATCAATTGGGGAATGGCTTAACAAGTTGCGGCATGTGATTGTAATGGAATAATACTGTGCTATAAGAAATGATGAGCAGGATGTTTTCAGAAAAACCTGGAAAGACATATGAATGGATGCAAAGTGAAGTGAGCAGAAGCAGGAGAATATTAAATATAGTAACAGCAATAGTATACACCAATCAACTGTGAATGATTTAGCTATTCACACAATACAATGAACAAAATTACAAAGTACTTACAATGAAAAATGCTATCCACCTCTAGAGAAAGAACTGATAGAATCTAAATGCAGATAGAAGTATGTTATTTTTCACTTTTTTCATGGTGCTTTGGTCTGTTTTTTTCTAAAACATGACTAATATGGAAATATCTTTTGCAACATTGCACATGTATAACTTATGTGAAATTGCTTAGTAAATGAAGGGGGGGAGAAGAAGGATTGAGAAAGTGAATTAACAACTCAAAATTAAAAAAAAAACATAATGTAAAAATATAGTTCCAATTAGGAAAAAATAAAATATTACTATGAAAAAGAGAGATGAGCAAAATGATTTCAGAAAAATCTAGAAAGACTTATATGAACTGATGCAAAGTAAAGTGAATAGAACCAGGAAAATACTGTAAACAGAAACATTTATATTATATGAAGATCATCTGTGAATGACTGAGCTAATGCCAGCAATGAAATTATCTAAGAAAGTTCTAAAGGACATATAATAAAAAATGCTATCCACCTCTAAAAAAAGAATTGATGGAGTCTGAATTCATGATACTGATGACTCCATTTAATGGAGCCAGTACAAAGGAGACAAGAAGCTAAAATAAAAATGTGACCTACATGGAAGAATACTTATGGCTGAGTTCAATAACCTGCTTCTGGGGTCAGCAAAGTAATGGAACTAATGCATATGTTAGACTCGATGTAACATTTCCCACAATACTTTAATGAGAGGCTTGCAAGGAAAGGGCCACTTTAAAGGCCAATAGTTCTAGCCATGTGGACCCTGAATTTTTATGGAAGTGAAGGATGGCAAGAATTAGTCCATATATGGTCAGGGAGGAAAAACAACTGGCTGACCAGGAAGGGCTCCAACTGCTAAAAGGCTGCATCCTGACCTGTATGGTCTGGAAGCCTAGACTTCACATCTCAACTCATCCACTTACCAGACATGTCAAGAAGATCCAGTCAGTGACCTCACTCTTCTCCTCAGCTCCCTGACCTGCAAAATTGAGCAAGAAAACCACCAATATCACAGTTTGTTCTCAGGCTCACAAGGCACAGGAAAAGTAGAGCTCACTGAATACAAGTTAGTGCTTCTTTTTCTTCTCACAGATGCATGTGAGGATGTCCAAGGAAATATGTAGTGCAGGGAAAATAATTCAAAGTGCCATCAGGAGGGAAACTCCTTTTCTTTCCCTGACTAATATGCCCACATCTAACCTCTTCAAATTTCTGAAACACATGCAAATCTGGAAACTCACCTATGAAGAGAATCTGTGAGCCTGTCAAAATGAAACTTGTCCACAGGAGAAAGACTGCCCAGCTCTTCCTGGGAATAATTCTAGAAGCAATCAACAGAGAAAGGTGGTCAACTTTAAGGCACTGACAGGAACAAAGGAGAAACTGGCATTGTGAGGAGGCCTCAGCAGCTGAGCCTATTCTACAAGACTTTTTGTGCTTGGTAATGTGCATTTTTTTGCCATGCTTGAATCCATGGAGGACAAAAAAAAATGAAATCACATCAGGTAAATGCAAAAGGGAGGGGAAAAAGAAGATATGCCCATGTTGGTCACTTTGGTCTCATCAGATCAAGACTGTCTGTTTCAGACCTCAGACACTTTCTACTCAATGGGCTTTGGTCCCTATCACACCTGGGAAGCTGAGTATGGGGAAGATGAATACCCAAGCAAGCCAAAATGATGGCAGGGTTAAAGGAAAATGGAGAAGCAGAATAAAAGTGATATCAGACAGCCAAATGTCCTAGAGTCTTGGACTTGGAGCCAGGAAGGCTCAACTAGCAGCCCCACCCTAGCCACCTATCAGGAGTGTTCTCCTGTCCTGAGTAACTTCCCAAGTCTTAGCATCATTTAATTCCTCTGTCAAATGGACCACAAAGCATATAAGAGTCAGAGGTCTCCTGCTGGAAGGAAGAAGTATACATACACTCCGATATTTACTAAACTTTTTTTTCTGAATTCTTATTAGGGTCTTTTTATTGTTATTCTTATTATGATTGATCATGAACAGAATAGAAAAGCTCTGGCAAGGTTTCAGTGGAAGAACGAATTTTTTCCATCATGTTATAGCAGATCCCTTAGGTGATGCCAAGGATAACTGTCATCCATTTTTTCCAAAAGAAAAAGGAATGGAAGAGACTTCCATTTCCAAGGGAAGAATCAGTTGCAGGAAGATATTTGTGAACCAGAGGGCCACTTTTCACATCTTCCAGAGTATCTCCGACCTAGGAATGAGAAGTACAGAGATGACGTGAAGCCTCAGGGACTTAGAGGAAAGGAGATGTCAACAGTGAATGGGTGGGAGGCCTTGCACATGGTCCAACTGTCTGGGATCCCAAGTACTTGCAATTTATTGTCCTGCTGACTCCATTTTATGGTGCCAGTAGAATGGAAATGAGGAGAAAGGATCAAATGTGAGTGAGATGTGAGCCCCCAAGGCAGTGTCCAGTAGATTGCATTCCTTGGTCAGCCAATCAGGGGACCCACTGTGTACAGCAGAACCAGTTCTATGGATTAGGCCTTTGAAAACCCCAGGAGCCAATTTGCCTGATAGGGGGCTTTCCAGAAAGCATCACTGAAAAAGACTAGGTCTCTAGCCATGTGGACTCTGAATTTTTAGGGAAGTGAAGAATGGCAAGAATGAATCCATATATGGTCAGGGAGGAAAAACATAAGGCTGACCAGGAGGGGCCCCAATTGCTAAGAGATCATATTCTGACCTTTATGGTCAGGAAGCCTGGACTTCACATCTCAACTCCTCCACTTACCAGACATGTCAAGAAGATCCAGTCAGGTGACCTCACTCCTCTCCTCAGCTCTCTGACCTGCAAAATCAGAGCAAGAAAACCACCAATCTCACAGTTTGTTCTCAGGCTGCAAAGGCAAAAAGTAGAGCTTACTGCATACAAGTTAGTGCTTCTTTTTCTTATCATAGATGCACATGAGAATGTCTAAGGAAATATGTAGTGCAGGGAAAGTATTTCAAAGTGCTATCAGTAGGGACACTCTCTTGCTTTCCCTCACCAATATGCCCAGACCTAACGTCTTCATATTTCTGAAATAGACGCAAATCTGGAAACTCACCTATGAAAAGAAACTGTAGGCCTGTCAAAATGAAACTTGTCCACAGGAGAAAGACTGCCCAGCTATTTCTGGGAATAATCCTATACGCAATCAACAGAGAAAGGTGATCAATTTTTTTTTATTCATTTATTTTAACTTATCAACAATCACTTCCACATAAGCTTTTGAGTTTTAAATTTTTGTCCACCTTCCTCCCCAAGATGGCACACAATCTGATACAGGCTATACACATACATTCTATTAAACATATTTTCACATTAGTGATGTTGTAAGGAGTAATTAAAACCAATCGAAGAGCCACAAAAAAGAGAAAACAAAACCAAATAAAAGGAAAAAATTGCCAATAGTGTGCTTCTATCTGCATTCAAACTCCATAGTTCTTTCTTTGGATGTGGATAGCATTTTCCATCATGAGACCTTTGGAGATGTCTTAGATCTTTGCATTGCTGAGAAGAGCTAAGTCTATCAAAGTCAGCCATCCCATAATATGGCTGTTCCATTGTACAATGTTCTCCTCGTCCTGTTCATTTCACTCTGCAGCAGTCCATATGAGTCTTTTCAGGATTTTCTGAAATCCACCTGCACGTTATTTCTTATAGCAAAATAGTATTCCATTACATTACTATACCATAACTTATTCAGCAATTCCCCAACTGATGGACATTCTCTCAATTTCTAATTCTTTGCCGCCACAAAAAGAGCTGCTATAAATATTTTTTGTACATGTGGGTCCTTTTCCCATTTTTATGATCTCTTTGGGATACTGACCTAGAAGTGTTATTGCTGGGTTCAAGGGTATGCACATTTTCATAGCCCTTTGGGCATAGTTCCAAATTGCTCTCTAGAATGGTTGGATCATTTCGCAACTCCACCAACAATGCATTACTGTTCCAATTTTCCCACATCTTCTCCAACATTTATCATTTTCTGTTTTGTCATGTTGGCCAGTCTAATAGACGTGATGTAGTACCTCAGAGTTGTTTTGATTTGCATTTCTCTAATCAATAGTGATTTACAGCATTTTTTCATATGAGTATAGATGGCTTTAGTTTTTTCATCTGAGAACTGCCTCTTCATATCCCTTAACCATTTATGAATTGGGGAATGACTTCTATTCTTATAAATTTAACTTAATTTTCTATGTTCTCTTCCCCTGCATTTCTTTTCATTAGTTCCCTTGATATTCTGGACCTTTTGTTATTCCAAATGAATCTTGTTATTATTTTTTCTAGCTCTATAAAATAATTTTTGATAGTTTGGTATGACACTGAATAAGTATATTAGTTTAGGTAGAATTATCATTTTTATTAAATTAGCTTGTCCTACCCATGAGCAACTGATGTTTTTTCCAATCATTTAGACCTGACTTTATTTGTGTGAAAAGTGTTTTGTAATTGTGTTCATATATTTCCTGTGCTTGTTTCATTAGGTAGACTCCTAAATATTTTGTAATGTCTTCAGTAACTTTAAATGGAATTTCTCTTTTTATCTCTTGCTGTTGGGCTTTGTTGGTAATATATGAAAATGCCAATGATTGACGTGGGTTTATTTTATATCCTGCAACTTTGCTAAAGTTTTTTGTTTCAAGTAGTTTTTTACTTGATTCTCTAGGATTCTCTAATTATATCATTATATCATCTGCAAAGAGTGATAGCTTTGTTTCTTTTTTTTTTGTGCATTCTAATACCTTCAATTTCTTTTTCTTTTCTTATTCCTAAAGCTAACGTTTCCAGTATGATATTGGACAACAGTGGTGATGATGGACATCCTTGTTTCATCCCGTACCTTATTAGAAATGCTTACAGCTTGTCCCCATTACATATGGTGCTTGGTGAAGGTTTTAGGAATATGCTACTTATTATTTTAAGGAAGATTCCATTTATTCCTATGCTCTTTAATGTTTTTAATAGGAATCATGCTGTATTCTGTGAAAAGCTTTTTTTTCCTGCATCTATTGAGATGATCATGTAGTTTCTGTTAGTTTTGTTGATGATGTGATCAATTATGTTGATAGTTTTCCTAATATTAAATGAGCCCTGCATTCCTGGTATAAATCCTACCTGGTCATAGTGTGTTATTCTTGTGATAAGTTCCTATAATCTATTTGCTATTATTTTATTTGAAATTTTTGCATCTAAATTCATTAGGGAAATTGGGCTATAATTTTCTTTCTCTGTTTCGGTATCAGCACCATATTTGTATCACAGAAAGAATTTGGTAAGACTCCTTCTTCAGCTATTTTCCCAAATAGTCTATATAATAGTGGAATTAATTATTCTTTAAATGTTTGATAGAATTTGATTGTAAATCCATCTGGCCCTGGAGATTTTTTTTCCTAGGGAGTTCATCAATGGCTTGTTCAATTTCTTTTTCTGAGATGGGGTTAAGTGTTTTACAAAAGGTGGTCAAATTTAAGATACTGAGAGGAATAAAGGAGGAGAAACTGACATTGTGAAGAGGCCCTCACAAGTGAGCCCATTCTACAAGAATCTTTACTCCTGTTAATGTGTATTTATTTTGCCACTCTTGAATCCATGGAGAACAAAGAAAAATGAAATGGCATTAGGGAAATGCAAAAGGGAGGGGAAAAAGTAAATGTGCCCATGTTGGTCACTTTAGCTGCAATAGATCAGAACTGTCCTTCTCAGACCTCAGACACTTTCTACTTAATAGGCTTTGGTGCCCAGTACACCTGGGAAGCTGAGTATGGGGAAGATGAATACCCAAACAAGCCAAAATAACAGCAAGATTAAAGGAAATGAAGAACCATAAGAAAAATGATATCCAGGGCAGCTAAGTGGTGCAGTGGATAGAGCACTGGCCTTGGAGTCAGGAGGTCCAGAGTTCAAATCTGGCCTCAGAGCAAACACTTGACAGTTACTAGCTGTGTGACCCTGGGCAAGTCACTGAACCTCAATTGCCTAAAAATTAAAAAAAAAATTTTAAAAAAAGGAAGAAAAATGATATCAGACAACCAAACATCTTAGAGCCTTGGACTTGGAGCCAGGAAGGCTCAACTAGCAGTCCCACCCCAGCCACCTATCAGGAGTATGCTCCTGGCGTGAGTAACTTCACATGTCTTAGCATCATTTAATTCCTCTGTGAAATGGATCAGAAAGAGTATCACAATCAGAACTCTGCTGCTGGGAAGAACATACACATACTGTATTCCTACAGTCCTATTTCCTGTGCTCATTTTTGATTTTGTAGTTGACATTCTTACTAGGGCAGATTTGTTGCTGTTTTATTGTGATTAATCATGAACAAAATGGAAAAGCTCAGGCAGAGCTGCAGTGGAAGTATGGAATCTGTCTGTCTGTCACATTGTGGTAGACCCGTTTAGGCAAGACCAAATGCCCCCCGGAGGACCATCATCCATTTTTTTCCACAGACAGGAATTGAAGAGACTTACATTTCAAAGGGAAGACAGTTTCTTTGCAGGAGGATATTTGTGAACCAGAGGGCCACTTCTCACATGTTCCAGTGTATCTCTATCCTAGGAATGAGAAGTACAGAAACGATGTGATGCCTCAGCAACTTAGAGGAAAAGAGATGTCAGCACTGAATGGGTGGGAGGCCTTGCAAATGGTCCCAACTGTCTGGGACCCCAAGTACTTGCAATTTATTGTCCTGCTGACTCCATTCTATGATGCCAGTACAATGGAAATGAAAAGGAAGGATCAAATGTGAACGAGATAGAGTGTCCAGTGGATTGCATTCCTTGGCAGGCCAAGCAGGTGGTCCACTGTGTACAGCAGAGCCAGTCTATGGATTAGGCCTTTGAAAACCCCAGGAGCCAACTTGTCTGATAAGGGGTTTTCCAGGAAAGGGCCCCTGAAAAAGACTATTTCTCTAGCCAGGTGGACCCTGAATTTTAGGGAAGTGAAGGATGGCAAGAATGAATCCATATATGGTCAGGGAGTAAAAACATGAGGCTGATCAGCTGACCAGCAAGGGTCCGAATTGCTAAGAGGCCACATCCTGACCTGTATGGTCAGGAAGCCTGGACTTCACATCTCAACTCATCCACTTACCAGACATGTCAAGAAGATCCAGTCAGGTGACCTCACTCCTCTCCTCAGCTCTCTGACCTGCAAAATCAGAGAAAGACAACCACCAATATCACCATTTGTTCACAGGCTCAAAAGGCACAAAAAAAGTAGAGCTCACTGAATACAAGTTAGTGCTTCTTTTTCTTATCACAGATGCACGTGAGCATGTCTAAGGAAATATGTTGTACAGGGAAAGTATTTCAAAGTGCCATCAGGAGGGAAACTCCTTTCTTTCCCTGACTAATATGCCCACACCTAACCTCTTCAGATTTCTGAAACACATGCAAATCTGGAAACTCACCTTTGAAAATAAACCGTGAGCCTTTCAGAATGATACTTGTCCACAGGAGAAAGACTGCCCAGCTCTTCCTGGGAATAATCCTAGAAGCAAGCAACAGAGAAAGGTGGTCAACTTTAAGGCATTAACAGGAGCAAAGGAGGAGAAACTGACATTGTGAGGAGGCCCCCACAGCTCATCCCATTCTTCAAGAATCTTTCCTCCTGGTAATGTGCTTTTATTTTGCCACTCTTGAATCCATGGAGAACAAAGAAAAATGAAATGGCATCAGGTTAATGCAAAAGGGAGGGGAAAAAGAAGATATGCCCATATTGGTCACTTTGGTCTCAACAAATCAAGACTGTCCTTTTCAGACTTTAGACACATTGTACCCAAAGGGCTTTGGTTTTCAATACACCTGGGAAGCTGAGTATGGGGAAGATGAATACCCAAGCAAGCCAAAATGATGGCAGGGTTAAAGGAAATGAAGAACCAGAATAAAAATGATGTCAGACAGCCAAACGTCTCAGAGCATTGGACTTGGAGCCAGGAAGGCTCAACTAGTAGCCCCACATCAGCCACCTATCAGGAGTGTGCTCCTGGCCTAAGTAACTTCCCATGTCTTAGCATCATTTAATTCCTTTGTCAAATGGACCACAAAGAGTATCTGAATCAGAGGTCTCCTGCTGGAAGGAAGAAGCATATAGACATTCTGATATTTGCTATGCTTGTTTCTGACTTGGTAGTTGAAATTCTTATCATTAATCATGAGCAGTATAGAAAAGCTCTGGCAGGGTTTCAGTGGACAAATGAAATTTGTCCATCATGTTATAGCATACCTCTTAGGTAATGCCAAGGACAACCATCATCCACTTTTTTCCAAAATAAAAAGAAATTGAAGAGATTTACATTTCCAAGGGAATAAAGTCATTTGCTGGAAGACATTTGAGAACCAGAGGGCCACTTTTCACATCTTCCAGGGTATCTCCACCCTAGGAATGAGAAGTACAGAAATGATGTGAAGCCTCAGGGACTTAAAGGAAAAGAGATGTCAACACTGCGTGGGTGGGAGGCCTTGCACATGGTCCCAACTGTCTGGGATCCCAAGTATTTGCAATTTATTGTCCTGCTGACTGCGTTCTATGGTGCCAGTAGAATGGAAATGAGGAGGAAGGATCAAATGTGAGTGAGATAGAGGCACCCCCTAGGCAGTGTCTAGTTGATTGTATTCCTTGGTCAGCCAATCAGGGGACCCACTGTGTACAGCAGAACCAGTTCTATGGATTAGGCCTTTGAAAACCCTTGTGGCCTCACTTGACTGATAGGCACTTTTCAGGAAAGGGTGCCTGAAAAGGACTATATCTCTAGCCATGTGAACCCTGAATTTTTAGGGAAGTGAAGGATGACAAGAATGAATCCATATATGGTCAGGGAGAAAAAAACAACTGGCTGACCAAGAGGGGCTCCAATTGCTAAGAGGCCACATCCTGACCTGTATGGTCAGGAAGCTTGGATTTCACATCTCAACTTATCCACTTACCAGACATGTCAAGAAGATCCAGTCAGGTGACCTCACTCCTCTCCTCAGCCCCTTGACCTGCAAAATCATAGCAAGGAAACCACCAGTCTAACAGTTTGCTCTGAGGCTGAAAAGGCAGAGAAAAATTAGAGCTTGCTGTGTAAAAGCAAGTGCTTCTTTTTCTTATTACAGATGTGCACGAGCACTTCTGAGGAAAGATGTGACAAGAGTGCAGACCTATTTCAAAGCACCATCAGGATGTAACCTCCCTGGCTTTTCCTGATGTATCCCCCCAGAATCAACCTAATCAAATTTCTAGAACAGGTGCAAATCCCGACACTCACCTTTGAAAAGAAACAGTGAGATACTCAAAATGACATTTATCCAAAAGATGAAGACTGTTCAGGATTCCTGGGAATAATCTTTGCACCAATAAATGGAGAAATATAGTTAACTCTAAAGTATTGGGAGGCAGAAAGAATGAAAAAATGACGTTTCTGGAAGGCCCCATAATCTGAACTGAAGTCTGTAAGTATTTCCCCACAGCAACGAATATTTATTTTGCCACCCTTGAAGACATGTAGCATGAAGGAAAAAGAAATGTCAACAGGGATATACAAAAAACATTTGGTTCTCACTTCTCTGAGTTGTCTGATACGGTGCTTCCAAATAAAATGTCTTTAAAATTTCTGTAAGTCTAACTATGTGGGCCCTGAATTTTAGAGCAGGTAAGAATATGATAAAAGAATGGATATGTAGCAAGAGAGGAAAAAGGATGCATAATAGGCAGGATTTCAAAACCTTTAGTGTTCAAAAACCTTTACTGCAGGGTCAGGAAACCTGGACTTCACCTTCCAAATCATCCACTTATCAGACCTGTTAAGATAACAAAGTCATTTAACCTGTGTTATTTTCTCATCCCTGTAACACCGGGATACACAGTTTGTTTAGAAGCTCAAAAGTGGCCCAAAATGTACAGCTTGCTAGGTACAAGTGAGTCATTCTTTTTACTATCACGGATGTGTGTGAGTACTTGTAAAGAAAATTGAGTCAGGAATGCAGTAGAACTATTTAATTGGCCCATCAAGAGGCACCTGTCCCCCACTGCCCTGACTGATACCCTCATCTCCAACCTTTATAAATTTTTTAAACAGATTCAGTCATGGAAACTCACCTTTCAGAAATAACAGTGAGCTTTTTTGAAGTGAAATTTATCCAGAAAAGGAAGATTGCTCAACTCTTCACTCAAATGATCCTAAGGCCCATAAATGGAGAAATAATGTCATTCTTAAGGCATTCATAGTAAAAAGATCAGAACCTGAAGGAAACTCACTTTTCAAAAGTAATGGTGCCGGTTGTGATATAGGACATTTATGCATAGGAGTTAGACAGCTGAACTCTTCCTGGGAGTACTCCTAATGATGAAGAAGTGCAGGAATAATGTTAACCTTAAAGGATTCACAGACAAAAAGATAGACAAATTGATTCCTTGAGTTGACCGTTGACTCCAGCCTGGGCCTACGACATCCTTTGCCACTTTCAGTGTGTATTTTTCCTACATACATTCAACACATGCAGAATTGAGGGAAATGAAAATGCATAAAGTAAAGAAAAACAATTTGGCAGAAAATTAAATACAGTAGTCATAGCTCTGATTCTATTGTCAGCTGACCTGAGGGTACCCCATTCACAACTCTGACCCTGTCTACCTACTTCATATGAAAAACCTTGGAGCTTTAGTTGTATGCATCATGAAGCCCCAATTATATCCATCATTGAATGACTGTATAGAAATGAAGTCAGGGACTGTAGTCAGAATAAGATTTTTACCTTGACATAAGTGACTTCATTTTGCATTAGGCCATCATTTTGTGATGAAGTGTTCCAGTGTTTGTTTTATTTTATTGTTATTATTTATAGTAATATAAATGTATATGTGGTGTCAAAGAAGAGGCCCATGCTCATTGGCTACAGTTAAATATATGAGAACCTCCTCCCCCCAGCAGGACAGGCCATTGATGGATATTTTAAAAATAACTTTAAGCTTGTTTTGTCAGGTATCAATCAAATTAACAGGTAAACAAATTAGGTCATTAGCCACCAAGCAGAATTTGAGTGTAACTAGTTAATGTTTATAACTACAACTCTAATAAAGTCACCAGTGTTCCCAGCCTTCAGCATACCCTTGGCTCCTACATTCCCAGTACTTGGGACTCAATCATCCTCTGGATTCAATGAGAGCACTGCTGATTGACTGAAGGAAATTGGATCACTTACCTGGCAACCACTTTGCAGGGAGATACATGGTCTCTGGATGGGCAGAGCAAGAACCTTGTCACTGAGTAGCACTGCAAGACATGCTTATTGGGAAACTAGAGGAAATTAGATTAGTGGTTTATTCCTGCTAGGGTTAATCCTATTATTGTAATAGAATGTAGAAATTAACATTTGCATGCTCTTGACTAATCAAGTTTGATTGGTAGAATTGGAAAGTCTAAGTCTAATCAGTATTTTGGTCACTCTGCTTAGCATATGCAACAGTAAATGAGTTTAGTGGTTGCATTATGTGTTATAAGTGACAATGCTTATGGATTCCTGTTACAAGTGCCCCATTGGAATATGCTCACAAAGGAATAGAAATAAACAAGGCTGAGAATCAGCTCTGGAACTTACTATATTCCACAAGCCAATAAATAACAAACATTGAGACTAAATCTTCTGGCTGTGGTACCTCTGAATGGAATGTGGCACCACAGAGAGAATGATACACAAAGAACTGCTGCCACTGTTCTGTCTGCTCTGGAGAAAGAGCTGGGCCACTGAACTAGGCTGAGAAATCTGAACAAGCAACAGGAAAGCCCATTTCCTTCATTAGTCATGAGCTGCCAACCATTGCTGGGACTAGAACTCTCAGTACTTGCATCTTCATAAGTAGAGTTAGATCATAAGCCTGGCTAGTCACCTACTGCCTCTATCAAAGAGGGCATGGACGAAAATTTAAACCACATGCTGCAAAAATGGGAAACCCTTCTCTGCCTTTCTCTGTCTGTCTGTCTGTCTGTCTGTCTGTCTGTCTGTCTCTCTCTCTCTCTCTCTCTCTCTCTCTCTCTCTCTCTCTCTCTCTCACACACACACACACATACACACACAAACTTAAAGTCAATATGAAGCCTATACTGATCTGCACTCTCTATGCTTGAGATGGCATTCTGTTAAAAAATGCCCAGAGAAGAAAACCAGCCCTTACACCAAGCTTGCAATATTATGGTCAATTATTAAAAGGAATTTTGTTTTAAAACAAAAGTGTCTCATGAGACCCATCTCCCTGGGAATCATAGAGATGAGATAGAACCTTCGAAATAGCTACACTGATATTTTAATACAGATATGGCAAGTAACAGACAAACCATAGATAGTGAAGATAAGGGTACTTAGCCACTTTCTTGAAAACAGAGCCACCACAGCAGAAAATTAAAAACTCACTCTTGTAAGATTTAGAGGAATTGTTACTTAAGAAGTTAGGGGACAGAAGCAGAACCAAGATGGCAAAGAAAAGCCAACAAGTTGCCTGAGCTCTCCCCAGTTTCCCTCAAAACAATGTTAAATCAATCCACTAAACAAATTCTGAAGCAACAGAACCCACAAAAAGATGGAGTGAAACAATTTTCCAACCCAAGATAATTAGAAGGACTGAAGGAAAGGTCTGTCTCACTTGGGTAAAAGAAGAGTACAGCCCAGCACAGGTGATGTCTAGGCAAGCCAGTGGGAAGCTCTTTACCACTGCACAGATCAGCAATTGAGTCACTGGGTTTTTGGCCCAGCAGGCCAGCTGTGATGACTTCAGCCTGAGTACAGCAGGCAAAATGCCAGCTATAGAACCTCTAGCAAAGCAGGTGTGACTAGGTGGGGCCACTCCAGCACCATGGGCAAGCTACCAGCCCTGAAGGCCCCTGTGAAGAAAGCCAGTGAGCAGGCCCTTGGCCCCTAGTACAAAAAGCTTGGCACAGTGCTCCCTGTACCCCAGGATCAGAGCTCAACTGTAAAAGTCACAAAATAGGCTAGAAAATGAACAAAGATTAAAAAAAGGAGACCTGGCCATAGAACGCTACTATGATGACAGGGAAGATCAAACCACAAACTAAGAAGAAGACAACAATGTTGAAACACCTACATGTGAAGCCTCAAAGAGAAATATGAATTGGTCTAAAGCTGAAAAAGTCCTCTTGGAAGAGTTCAAAAAGGATTATAAAATCAAATAAGAGAGAGGTAGAAGAAAGATTGGGAAATGAAATGAGAGTTAAGTAGAATCAGGGGAGGGGGCACCTCGGTGGTACAGTGGCCCTAGAGTCAGGAGGACCTCAGTTCAAATCCAGCCTCAGACACTTGACACTTACTGGCTATGTGACCCTGGGCAAGTCACTTAACCCCATTGCCTAGCAAAAAAAAAAAAAAGAATTGGCCAAATGAGGAAAAAAGCCACTGAAGAAAACAACTCCTTAAAAAGTAGAATTGGCCAAATGGAAATGGAGGTACAAAAGCAAACTGAAGAAAATAATTCCTTAAAAATTAGAATTGGGCAAGTGGAAGCTAATGATTCCATCAGACATCAAGAATCAATCAAACAAAACCAAAACAATGAAAAATAGAAGAAAATGTGAAATACCTCATTGGAAAAACAATTTATCTGGAAAATAGATCCAGGAGAGATAATTTAAGAATTATTGGACTACCTGAAAGCCATGATCAAAAAAAGAGCCTGGACAGGCATCTTTCAAGAAATTATCAAGGAAAACTACCTTGATATCTTAGAACCAAGGGTAAAATAGTAGTTGAAAGCATCCACTGATGACCTCCTGAAAGAGATCCCAAAATGAAAACTCCCAGGAATATTGTAGCCAAATTCTGGAACTATCAGGTCAAGGAGAAAATACTGCAAGCAGCCATTAATAAGCAATTTAAATATCAAGGAGCCACAGTCAGATTTACACATGACTTAGTGGCATCTACATTAAAGGATCTGAGGGCTAGGAATATCATATTCTGGAAAGCAAAGGAGCTTGGATTACAACCAAGAATCAACTACTTAGCAAAACTGAGCATAATCTTTTGAGGGAAAAATAGATATTCAATGAAATAAGAGACTTTCATACTTTCCTGATGAAAAGACTAGAGGTGAACAGAAAATTCAATCTTCAAATATAAGACTCAAGAGAAGTATAGAAAAGCAAACAGGAAAGAAAGAGACATGTTATTCACAAAGGTTAAACTGTTTACATCCCTACATGTCAAGATGATACTTGTAACTCTTAAGAATTGTATCTCTTTTAAGGCAGTTAGGACTATATACATAGACAGAGTGTATGAGTATAAGTTGACTTTGATGTGAGGTGATAAAAAAAATTGAGGGGTGAAAAAAAAATTGTCTTGGGAGGAGAGAAAAGCAGGAGGTAGAATGGAGTAAATTTTATCAAATGAAAGATGCAAAAGCAAAAATAGATCCAATTGAGAGAAACAAGGAAGGAAACTACATCTTGCTGAAAGGTACCACAGACAATGAAGTAATATCAATACTAAACATATATGCACCAAGTGGTATAGTATCCATGTTTCTAAAGGTGAAGTTAAATAAGTTAAAGGAGGAAACAGTAAAACTACACCAGTTGGGGACCTCAACCTCTAAGCAATATCAGAAATGAAAACAGTGAATTCACTACCAATGAAGATGAAATTAAAGCAGTAATTAGGAGCTATTTTGTGAAGTGTATGCCAATAAATCTGACAAGTAAAATAGATGAATATTTACAAAAATATGAATTGCCTAGATTAACATAAGAGGAAAAAATACTTATCTCTATTTTAGAAAAGGAAATTGAACAAGTCATCAATGAACTCCCTAAGAAAAAAAAACTCCAGGGCCAGATGGATTCTGCCACGTTTAAAGAACAATTAATTCCTTTAAATACTATATAAACTATTTGGAAAAACAGGTGGAGTAGTACCAAATTATTTTTATGACACAAATATGGCATTGATACCTAAACCAGGAAGGGCCAAAACAGAGAAAGAAAATTATAGACCAATTTCCCTAAAGAATCACAAGGCAAAAATTTTAAATAAAATAGCAAAGAGATTATAGCAATTCATCACCAGGACAATACACTATGACCAAGTGGGATTTATACCAGGAATGCAGACTGGTTCAACATTAGGGAAATTATCAGCATAACTGACCATATCAATAAGAAAACCAAGAGAAATCATATAATTATCTCAATAGATGCAGAAAACCATTGGTCAAAATACAGTACCCATTCGTATTAAACACACTAGAGAGCATAGGAATACATGGAGTTTTCCTTAAAATGATAAGTATTATCTATCTAAAACCATTCCCAAACATGGGGATAAGCTAGGAGCCTTTCCCAATAAGATCAGGGGTGAAACTAGGATGCTCATTATCACCGCTGTTATTCAATATTGTACTAGAAATGTTAGCTTTAGCAATAAGAGAAGAAAAAGAAATAGAAGGAGTTGGAATAGGCAAAAAGGAAACAAAGCTATGACTGTTTGCAGGTGATATGGTGGTTTACTTAGAGAATCAACTAAAAAAACTAGTGGAAATAATTACCTACTTTATCAAAGTTGCAAGATGTAAAATTAACCTATATAAATCAGCATTTCTATGTATTGCCCCCAAAAAGTCCAGCAGCAAGAGGTAGAGAAATTTTGTTTAAAATAACTGTAGGCAATATAAAATACTTGAGAGTCTTCTCACCAAAACAAACTCAGGAAATATGTGAACACAATTACAAAACACTTCTCACACAGGTAGATCTAAACAGTTGGAAAAATGTCAATTGTTCATGGGTAGGCCTAGCTAATATAATAAAAATGACAATTCTACCTAAATTAATTTACTTATTCAGTACCATACCAATCAAATTACGAAGATTATTTTATAGAGCTAGGAAAAAATAACAGTATTTATCTGGGAGAACAATAGGACAAGAATATCAAGTGAATTTATGGGAAAAAAATGCAAAAGAAGGTGGCATAGCCTTACCAGATCTAATACTATATTATAAAGCAACATTCATCAAAATTACTTGGTACTGACTATGAAACAGAGTGGTAGAGCAGTGGAATATGTTAGGTATGCAAGAAACAGTAGTCAATGACTACAGTTATTGACTATTTGATAAACCCAAAGAATCCAGCTTCTGGGATAAGAACTCACTATTTGACAAAAACTGCTGGGAAAACTGGGAAAGAATATGGCAGAAACTAGATGTAGACCAACATATCACACCATATACCAAAACAAGGTCAAAATGGGTACATGATTTCAACATAAAGGGTATTACCATAAGTGAATTGGGAGAGCAAGTAATACTTTATCTGTCAGCATTATGGAGAAGGGAAGAATTTATGACCAAATAAGAGATAGTGAGTTTTATTAATTGCAAAATGGATTGCTTTGATTACACTGAATTAATTTTTTTT